AAAGGCCTTTCTTTCCATACTAGTTGTCCTGTTTCCACATGTACAAATCCTACTCATTCTTCAAAACATAATTAAAAATGTCAAGTCTTCCATATTCTTACAAGGAACAGTAATCACTCACTCCTCTCTAAACTCTTCCAGTACTTTATCTTTATCTCTGTACCACAAGTAACTTTCTGCCTCATATTATCTTTGTTTCCATATTTAATCCCCCACATAAGCATAAAGGTCATGGTGCAAGGTCCACACCTTATTCATCTCTATTGAAACTGCTTAACAAAATGTCTTGCACATACTAGGCACTCCAGTTGAATTAAAGAATGGCCTGAGTTAGAAAAGAAGAGAAACTCACTAGAAACAACTCCAGGAGTCCCGAACCCTAGCTTTGCTAATAACTAATTATATGACCTTGGACTTCAGGTTGTCAGTATGTTCATTTGCAAAGTTAGAAGGGTGGGCTGATCCAGTTTGTTTGTTTGTTTTAACTAGACTGTTACACATTAGTTGGGTGTAAAATTAATTTGGTGGTTAGTATTTTTTATAAACGAAATAAAAAGAATATATCAAAATACAGGCAGTTATATGCTATAAATGTTTAACAAATATGTGGGGAAGTAGGGGGTCAGAGCTATACTATTTGCTAGCTTCCCTGATGTAAAATACTCCCACCCTGACCAGTTTCAAGCTACAACATATCACTGAACTTGGAGCTAGGTGGGAAGAGATAGGCATAACTGCCCTTGAAAGCCAGTGTGAGCCAACTCAACACAGCCCTGAAAAGATAAGGAGTATTTCAACAAACTTTTCTTTCAAATTCGTGTGTGCACGCACAAACTCATATGCTGAAACACAATATAAAATGTAGTTCTTACTGTGTGTTACAGTCAAAACAGTTTAACAATGGCCAAGTAAACAATCTCCTAATCTCCTCCACCTATACTATATAATTCAATAATTCTTATTCTTGGTTACACAATTAACTATCTCTTCACCACAGTTGATATTTTCCTTCAAAAATGAGAGTAACAGATGTCTCTTGATATCACCAGCAAGCAAATAAATAAACAGGGAGTAAGAATTTGGTTTAGAAATCATCAGCCAAGATCAAGTTCTCAGACTTTGTTCAGCCCCATATACCTAAAGGACACAACACACTCCTACTAATAGCAATAGCTCACTTAGGAAGGGGCTGGGGGAAAAGGAAAAGAAAATCTGTACTATAAAAGCAAACATCCAAGTGATTCTGGTATTTGTGTTCATGCTAGGTCCAACTGAGAAACCTAGAATAGAGAAAAACAGTGCTGCTAAAAAAAAAATTTAAAAAGTAAATTTTCCATACCTGATGTTTCCCAAAGTCCCAGGGATAAGCTTTCATTCTTCAATAGAACCTTTATTACTAAGTCTCTCCTACCAGAATTAAGTTTTTGCCATGCACTAGAGCCACACAGTATTTGTTGAATTTAGAATAGGCAAAAAGGAAAATAACTCTGCAAACATTTGTTAGACTTGCTATTCTGGGAAAATCAAGCTTTTGTTGAAAAAAAAAATACTTTATTTTCTTAATTCTTATTGAAGCTTACTGAACCAGGTAAGGGCAAAGAAGTTTCCTGAATATATTTTTGGCTGTACTATGTCTATCATAACATAACCTATAACCATATTTTTCATGAGTATTTATAAAGAAATGTCTTTTCCATTTTTAAGGCTCTTTAGAAAACAAGAATGCTCAGAATTTCAAGTACACTAATAACCTTAACCCAAATCTAATCCTAAATCAACTGAATATATGCCCAGAAGTTTCCTAGGAAAAATCCCAGAAATTTACCAAAAGATTCCACAAAAGATTCAGTATGAGCATAAACTTGCTATGCTCAATTATGGCATTCTGTCTGTTGAATAAGAGCAATATAAAAAGTAATGAAGTATTAAAAAAAGAGAATGTTGAGATACAAATTCTGCTTAATTCCAATAAATCTTCCTTATTATAGGGCCCACTGATGCCCACATACTTATGTCCAATTCAAATAAGAACTATAAAGTCAAAATTATTCCCCATTCGGAAAAGCCAGGCATCAATTCAAACAATGTCTTTATCCATATCTCAATTTTAAGACTTTATTTAAAAACTGTCAGGCTCAAATCTGTCCTTTGCTTTCACTGTCATGGCAAATGCTTAGAAGACTTATCTCCTTAAGAAATCCCTGAGATTTCTTTGAAGTACCAGCAAGGGAATAGCTGTGGGCTACCGATGATCTTCAGGCCTTAGAGAGTTAGAAACTTGTAGCAACTCATTAAAACTTGTGAGACATGAGAAAAAAAGCTGTGTGCAGGGAATCACACAGGCTATAGTATCCACTCAATCTCCAAACATCCTTAATTCCACTAAAATCATCCCAATACCATTTGAAGAGAAAGGCAGGCTAGAAAGCAGAACCAGTTCTACATCCTCAATACAAGAAATCTTTGCTACTTTAGCTACTCTCTCTTCAAAGTCAATATCTACAAGTTTGGCTATCTCCCACACATAATATTTTTACTTGGCATAACAGAATCTCTTCTTCTGACTACTCCCAAAAAATGAATAAAAGAACATTCAGCTTTTTTATTTTGTTTTGTATAGCGGTGCTGGGGATTAAACACAGGGCCTCACACATTCTACCACTGAGCTAAATCCCCAGCCCTAGAACTTTCAGCTTCAATGCCATATCATCTGAGAATTCAAATAAATACATAGTAACTAAGCAATTTCAAGACTGGGTTAAGGCAAAGAAAAAATAAAGGCTTAAGTACAAGTTTTTAGAAGTCATAAATTCAGAACTGGTGAGCTGATATACATGAAAACTCCTGTTTTACATGCCCAGTAAAATTCTGTCATTCAAAAAAAATTACCTCTAGCGTGAAAAAGATCTAAATCATGAAACAATTATCAAAGAAACAAAAATCATATCATAACTATAATATACAGAAATGCCCATCAAAAAACTCAGGTCAAAAAATAATAATAATAAACTTCATACATTTATTGTCATACCTTTTTAGGTTAGTCTGTAATGTTTACTATTTGCCACAATAGTACTGGGACCTACTACCTTGTTTCCAGCTTTCTAGAGTACAATGTATGCTATAAAATATTCAAGAATAAGTCCTGCACTATTACATCTATTTCTCTCCAGATGACTTAATAATACAAAATATCAGAGCACATCTTGAACTGATTTAGTAGAGACACCAGTCTGATTCAAAGTCTTGGCTAACTTCCTAAACAGGTAAATAATTAATACAATTTGATAGTGTATACATTAAATTCATCTAGTCTTTCTCCTTTGCAATCTCCTAAGTTTCATATGGAAAGCTCTATAGACATAATGAATCACAGGCCAGTTTTTCTGTGCTAGCAGCTTGTGAACCAATATTTTCCACTAAAACCACTTCCAATTCTTCATGTCCATATCTTCTGATGTCAAAACTACTGGATTTTCTCCAAAAGTGCAGGAGACAAAAAATGTAAACACTACTATGAGAAAAATCAAAAGGTTTCCATGAAATTATGTTTTATGAATTGTAACAAGCAACTACTTACCTCCGTTTATGCACAAGAAAATTCAAATGTATTTAATATCCCTAATCCTACGAGTGCCAAAAATATAGGCCTTGAAATCAGATTTCAAACAGCACTGAAATCTGTCAAGCAAGCGAAAGTTCTCCTTACCATTAGTGTAAATGAAGTAGGCATTTTAGTTCATTTGCATAAAGCCATCAATTCTGCAAGTGACCGCCTAAATACTGATACACTTTCTAAGATAACTGAGAAGTTCAAGGTGAAAGAATTCAAAAGCACCTGAACACACTGCCTTGAGATCCGAAACAAACTCTTGTCTGTTCAGCCCCCTTGCTCCCTGCCACCTCCCAATGGCCAGTGGCCCCTTTCCACACGCTGACGCACTGCCCAGCCCTGCACCGTTGGCGACCAATGCAAGTACCAGCCTAGTCTCAAAAACTTTGACTCAGTTATCAAAATAGTGAGCATTCAAGACCTGGGCGAGGGAGTGCTGGGGTGTTTGTTGCCCAGGCGGTCAACTTCGAAGCGGGGCATTCCTAGCAGGTAGAGATCTGCCCAGGACGCAGCCCATCCCAGACTGAAAAACCACAAGCTTTAACAGGAGCCCGGCAAAGTGCTCAGCCGAGGAAGGGGAAAAGCGAGCTAGAGACGCGGCCACCAACAGAAGCCTGAGTGTGGGTAATGCCCTAACCACACGCCCCCAGGACGCGGGGAGGCTGGGACTGCGACCCCAGCAGCGGCCACAGCGCAGACGCCGGCAGCGGGGGCAGCGGCAGTGTCAGGAGCGCACAGCTGGAGGCTCCGGCTGCCCAAGCC